CAAAAGCAATGCTAGGGAAGATGTTGACATCTTGGCAAACATCACAGTAGAGGCATCAAACTGTATGAGTAGATATTAGTAGTCATTATAGTCTTAACACCATACAGTTGTTCTCGGAAAAAAATGGGGGGGGGCACTATTTGACTAATGAATGTCTTTGGTGAAGCAGTAAAAATTATTAATTTTATTAAAGCTTGATCCCCAAGTACATGTCTTTTCAAGAAAAATGGAAGAACACTGAAAGTTCCTTTGCTGCAAACCAAAGAACAAAGGCTGTCTTGAGGACAATCATTTGCATGACTGTTTGAGTTGCAAGCTAAACTAACCACTTTTCCCACAGAACATTACGTGCACTTGAAGGAACAAATGCCCAATCCTGTTAACCAAGAGATCTGGCAAATGACTAAGTCCACACATGAACTACGTGAGCTGGCCTGTTATTTCTTAGAAAACAACTGACCGGGCACCTGGGTGGCTCAGTTGGTTAAGCAACTGCCTTCAGCTCAGGTCATGATCCTGAGCTGGGACTCTGATCCTATGACTCAGGATCAGAGGGAGTCTGCCTCTCCCTCTGATCTCTCCCCTCTAATGGTCTCTTTCTCTCTCTCAAATAAATAAATAAAATCTTAAAAAAAAAAAAAAAAGAAAACAACTGACCATACTTGTTGTCAAAGATTAAAATCTGAGCTTTTGAACAAACGTTGAGAATTTCCATAGGCTTGATCTGCCACCGTGACCTCAACAGCTTCTCAAGACTCAAAGACTTTTCTGATGACATGCGTGGTGATGTGAACACGTGTGACTTTTTGATCATGGATCAGGAAGTATGTCATCATTGGGAAGCTCAGCATCACCCCCTCACTCAAGTGATCACTGATAGATGCTTAAATCTTGTGTGCGGTACGGTACCCATTTGAAGTGCCAATGAGACCAATGGCTTCATCCACTGTTAACAGAGCACAAAACCCTCATTGGATGAACTCTGAGACACCACGCTGCTGCAGATCTCTACGAAACTACCGTTTGGTGGGTTTGAGGATGCCAACCCAGAAAAATACCTACACTCATCTAATAATAAGGCAATCGATACACTCCTCCCTTTTCCTCCTACTTATCTGAGTGATGCCAGATTTTCAACCCAAACGACAAATCGCAGTAGCCTGACTGAAGGAGCAGAGATGAGAATTTAGCGGTTTTCTGTAAAGTCAGACATCGATAAGTTTTTTATTGTTTGTTTTTGACGTATGGAAAAGTTTTCGCAAAAATGTAAAACAATGCTCTCCTCACTCAAATCTTTTTGTTTGGGAAAATGCACTTATTTTTTCATTAAAGTTTTTTTTTAATGTTAGTGTGCTATGGGTTTATTGCTGTTGTTTTAAAATAAATTATTGAGGATTTAAATGAGTTTTTGGCTTTAATTTCTGGAACAGTAAATACCTACAGAACTAACCCACATAAACAAGAACTCTTTGGGTCCTCAATTTTCTAAGAGTGAAAGGTGGTCCAGAGACCAGAAAGATGGAGAAATCCTGTCATAAAAAAAATAAACAGATTTACGAACACAGATCTTTATTGGAATGGTATATAACGGCAAAACCGAAAAGAAAAAAAGTAGAAACAACTCAAGTGTCCAATAATCAGAAAGTGGCTAAATAAATTACAGTGCCTCCATTTGCTAAAACATTATGTAGTCATTAAAAATTATGTTTTCAGAGAGCATTTATCGTGAGAAAACGCTCGCACACTCGTCACGCTGTTAAAAATGGGGCAGAAGCAAATGTTCACAATCACATTTCGGTAATGCCTTGATTCTTGGGGGAAATCAGGGGAACTAAGTGGGGGCTGAGGAAATCGACAGACTCCCCGGAAGGGTCTCATGGGTTACAAGCTCCCCAGCACATTTTAGGGCTAGAGGCCAGCTCCATTACGTTTAAACACACACGACACGACTCTTTCTTGAACAATCCTTCCAAACTTCTGTCTTTACACTCACAATGAGACCAAACTCCTAAACCTGGCATTCCAGACTCATCCCCAAAGAAACAGAGGAATCTTCCACACTTTGTCCTCCCCAAACCTGATTCTTGTCTTTGCTTTGATGTCATAACCCAGGGCTGATGTTCCTCACGTCTGTTTGAGTTCCTAAACCTCTCCCATTCTGGAAAATTCTGGTCTCATCCAAACTCAAACCAAAGACAGGCGCAGGTAGGTAGGGTACCACCAGGGAGGAAGTCCTGGGGGCTTGGCGTTCTCCTGCAAATACCGCAGGGATGCCGGCTGTTAACAAGTGTCACCCAACATCTGCTGCTTACTTGGTTTGCACATTTATTCTCATTCTCCTCATTATGGGCATATAAATCCCTTTTCATGCCCCAGCCTCCTTCTGCCCACATCTGTCTGCAATTTACTCACCACGTGCCGTGGCTGGGAGGAAGTATCTTATTTATGACTTTGTAGGATGCCAAGCAGGATGCTCGGGCCGGCTGAAGGTGCCCACCGCTTTTCGGGAGCACTGCTGTCTTGAGCTTGGATGGGCTCAGGGCCTCGAAGGTCTGGGCCACCCTAACAGGAATCAGGAGACCAACAGCTCCAGGCAGGTCTGAGGAGGTGTGCCAAGCCCCCTCTCATCTGGCAATCACTAAGTATATGCACTAACAGCACTAGGCACTGGGCCAAGCACTTTATATCTCATTTAATCCCCATGACAACCCTCGGAAACAGCTACTGTTACTAGCCTCAATGATAAGAGAAATAGCTTTGTTATTGTTATCCTCAGCCAGAGGACTACGTAGTTCAGAGAGGGTAAGGAATGTGCCCGAGGTCACACAGCTAGTAAGTGGGAGAGCCCAAATGCAAACCCAGATCTGGCTCCAGAGTGTGCTGTCCCCGCTTCTGAGCTCGGATGGCCTCCCGTCTCTCCTGTCCGACCCGGCTGAATCCCCAGCGGGAAGCAGAGGTGTGTTTGTGCAGTGGAGAAAGTTTCTGACTCTGCTGGTCATTAGTTCTGTGACCTTGACCAAGTTATTTCACCGCTCTGAACCTCATTCAGGTGACTCCACCTGTGAGAGGGGGTTAATCCTGGTAGGACCGGGGTGAGTGATAGATACTGGCTAGCACACAGCAGGTGCTCAATAAAGCTTTCCTATCATGAATACTGACACGTCCTTATTGTTGAGGTTGTTGTTTACAGAGGAGCCCCCACATCTGGCAGATACCTGTGTCCCTGGGTGACCTTTGGTGACAGATAGACACCTTACAGCCCAGAGCGAGGAAAATATGCCTGCACAGCTGCGTCCTGTGGGCCGAAAGAAGGATACACATGGTAACAACCAGCTCTCTGCCCTCGCGGACATCGCCTCATTTAATTCACCACTACTGTCCCATCACTCAGGCCAGGAAACTGAGGTCTGGAGACCATAGGCAGTCTGTCCCAGGAGCCGGGGAGTGGTGGAGTCAGTGAGCGTCCGCTGAGCCCCCTCCCTATTCCTTTGGGACCAGAAACAGCTTGGATAAGAGGTTCTGTTCCCCTTCTAGGTCCAGAAGGGCAGATGGGGGTGAGGATTCTTCCCCTAGGTAAGATCATGCAAGGCAGGTTCCCCTGACCTTGGAAAATACACTGGCAAAGGTGGCTGAGACAGCTTCTGAGGCAGTCCCAACTCTCCACAGGGTTACAAAGCTTAGGGAGATCATCAGCTCGCACAGCCCCAGGCCCAGCAACACTTCCCCTGGGAGATTCTCGCCCCTTGAGTCTCTATCCCGAGGGAGGAGGGGATGTCAGGAGGCCCCTGGAAGCTGGGAGGCTTGCACAGATCTGCCTGGACTCCTGGATGGCCGCATGAAGAGGAATGTGCGTGTGCTGGGCACGGTGACTTCCCAATTACGAAGCATCAGCTGGACCACGGCACATACAACCCACCTGCTTGGGCCACTGGAAACAAAACCCCAACAGGAAAGGGTACCTTGTAGCTAGACCGGGAAACCCTGCGAGAAACTCCACGTCCCAGCTCTCCCCGCAGGCTGGCCTGGCCCGCGCACCACGCTCCTGCCAAAGGGAATCCCTGGCTCTGATTCTGGCTCTTTCTTTGTGTCCCCCAGGCCGAGGGGAGCAGAGATGCCCACCAGCCCGAAATGCTCCTCCTGATGGTGACAGGAGACAGAGACGACTTCTTCAAGCTGCCGCTCTGTCCTAGAGATTCTTTCCGAGAGCAGCCGGAAATCAACCTAAGCAAGAAAGCTGCTCTGGCTTCCGAAATGAAGTTTCCAGAGTGTGTATCGTTCTAGGAAACCTAAGTGGAAAGCAGGTTGCCAAGCTGGACTGCCTTTTTCTTTTCCCCAGGAGTATCAAAGGCAGTAACAGGGCCTCAAGAGAATGCTTCGTGTCAGAGTTCTCTGAGCACGGTTAGAGGGGGACTCCCCCAACCTTTCTCGAATCATCTTCTGAGACCCTTCCCAAAGCCCGCGGCATGGACCCCGGACACTGCACTTCTTAGGGGGAGCTTCTCCAGGCCAACCACGGGACAGGGGGCCCCAGCCCTTCCCCGAGAGGCTACCACAGTGAATGAGAGTGGCATGTGGTGCACGAATGTGTCCTCCCGCAGAGAATTCAGCACCTCCGCGCGGTCCCACAATCAGAGGTGCTCAAGGACCTCGACAGTGCCAGGGAAGCGGAGCCCAGCGGCTGGGTCAGAGCCTGGTCTAGCAGAGATGCCACCCGCCATTCATGCCCCAGAGGGCGGTGACCCTGCGTGACCATGCTGGAAAGCCTGTGCTGGGCACAGGGATGTGGGAATGACAGAAGCTTCCAACACGCGAGGCAGAATTCTACCAGAAAAGGGACAGGGCAGCTTCAGCTGGGGGTCTAAGCAGCGAGAGACCCCCATGTCCATGCCACCCCTCCTGCAGAGGAAGGACCCTGGTTCCTCGGTGCCCCTGTGGTCCAAGCCTGAGCCCCAGGCAAGGGAAGGGAGGAAAGTGCCACCAATAGTCACTTAGTCACTCACCCTGCAAGGCTTCTTTGGCTCTGGCTAGTTCCTGCTCCTTCTGGGCCAGCTGGACCCGGAGCTCGGTGGCCGAGAGGACCTCAGAGGACTTGCCGCCCTGGGACTCCTCCAGGTCCTTCGTCAACATCTCCTTCATCTGGCGGAGAAGGTGGACCTCCTCCTGGAGTCGAGCCACTTCTTCCCGCAGGAGCACTAGGGGAGAAGGGCACACGGTTAGAGGAAGGGAACGCGGGCTCCTGTTGACTCGCTTTTTCTGGGGACCGTTCCGAGGTGCTTTGGCTTTTCCTGTGTGCTCTGCATTTGAGGGCTTTCCTCATGTGCGCTGGGGAGAAAACTACCAAAGCTGTTAACCTTATTCCAAGAGTCCCAGCCCCAGTCCTGCGCCCCACCTCCAGTCTGCAGAGCGTGGCTGGTGGGACCACCCAGCATCCCCCACCCGACCCCACCCCACCCCATTCTCCAGGGCTCTGTTGCTGCTGTCACTGCACCAAGAGGGACCATTCCAACGGCCAACATCATATTCCCTCCAATGGGCAGGAACAAGTGTGAGAATGAAGAAGTGACAGGAGGCGGCATTCTGCTAGGAGCCTGGAGTGCCGAGTTGGGCTTTACATGCACTATCTCACTGAATCCTGCGAAAACCACATAAGGCGGCTCCCACCATCACCTCCATTTCACAGATCAGGGAGCTGAGACTCGGAGAGATTGAATCATAAAGTTAGAGGGCAGCAGAGCTGGGATCTGAACCCAGACTTGGCCAACTCCAGAGCCTGAGCTCCCAGTCTGACACTCAGGAAACAGTCCCCAAGAGGCACACCTGACACACGTCACAGAATGCAGAGCCTTGAGGAACCCAGCACCATGAAGAGACGTGGGCAGCCACACCCGAACACACAGGAGAATGGCGTCAAGTGAGCAGTAATGACGGTGACACCATGTGTCGAAAGGGGTGTGCACACCACTTACACCCAACCCTACATTCACGAGGGCCCAGGGGCCTTGGGAAGGTACCAGAAGGTGTGCCATCGCCGGCCCCAGGAGTCTCGAGGCCAGCTCAGTCCTGCAGGTCAGCTGATATACCGGCAACCAGGTCTGCTCACCTGAGCCACAACAGACACCGAGCTGTGGAAGGTGCTGGAGTTGGGGGTCAGCAGCCTCATTAGGTCTCAGACAGGTGGCCTCTGCCAGATCCTTTACAGAGCAGACTCACAGTCACGATGCTCACCTCATCGGCTGAAGAAGACTCTGAATTATTCACTGAAGCAGGCCCTCAACAACACGGCCTCTCCCTCATTGCTGACCTCATGCATTGCTCTCCCTCCCGCCATATTGGTCTCTCTCTTCGCAACATGCCAAGCTCTTCCCAGCCTCAGGGCCTTTGCCCCTGCAGCGATCTCCACCTCAAACACCCTTTCTTTGTTCTTCCTGTGGCTGCTTCCTCATTGGGACCTTTATCCCAGCCTCCTCCTCAGACAGGCCTTCTCTCACCGCCACGTCTCATCCTGCCATGGGAGCTGGGATGCAGTCCTTGCCTGTGGGGGCCATGGCTATAGAGACACTGGGTCTCTAGTTTGGTTCCCTCAGGGACCAGGCATGTAGCCGCGAGCCAGTCCCTTCCCTTTCGAGCCTCAAATGCCCCAAAATGGGTCTAACCCTCATTGGACTGTGAGGTTCCAATGAGACACGGGAAGCAGCCCCCCCCTGCAGACAGGCCTGGTCCAGGATGTCCTCAAGGTACACAGGAAGCACTCGGTACCGCTGAGATGGTGGCCCCGTTTCCCAGGATGCTTGCCCTCCATCAGCGCCTGGCGCTCTCAGGCACCCGGCCCTGCACTCCTCAGGGTGAGCAAGGCCGAGTCCCGTCCAGGGCGCGGGGCAGACCAAGGGGAAGCAGAGTGAAGGCCTCAAGGACTCGCGGTCCCTCCACCACCGGAGGCCTTGCCAACAGGTACCTCTGATTTTGACCCGTCCCTTGGTCCTGTGTCTCATCACCTTCTCTGAGGCCTCCCGGGTTCAGCTGCCGTGTGTGCGAAGGGCGCAGGCGTCCCTGCCCTCCCAGGGCCTTCCTCACCCGCCTCAGCCTCCCCCCAGGAGCCTGAGGGCCCGCCTGAAATGCAAAACCTCAACACCTCACTCCCCGATGAAACCCTCCAGGACTGGACCACAGCCCAGAGCTGCCACCAGCAGCCCCGCCTGCCCTCTCCGACCTCCCACAGGCCACCTCTCAGCCCCGAAAGTGTAGACAGGAAAGCTTCCTCCCCTCCTCGCAGGTCCCTTCCTGCAGGTTGGTCCCAGCCCTGCTACCACCCCTCCAGAGACCTAAATCCGTCCCCACCCGACAACCTGAGCAAAATCCTTATCACTGTGGGAGGCTCACTGGTTTATCCCGTCCCTGTGCCCAGCGGGCACCACCTTCCCGCAAGCAGGCCTGGTTACACCATCCCGTCCCGCTTGCTGCAGGGTCCGAGGTGCCCTGAACAGGGTGTGATGACACATGGACCCCCTCAAGCCATCTCTCCAGCCAACAAGAGTTCATGGGCATCTGCCCTATGGCAGACAGCCATCCAGGCACTGGGGACCCTTGGGTGAATGTCACAGACAGGTCCTGTCCTCAGGCTGGCACATTCCCAGACCCCACCGTGAACACGGGCCCAAGGACCCCAAAGCCGCACTCTGGGAAGGGAAGGCATCTGCAAGGGAGTGCCCGGCTGCTCGGACATCGAGGGGCTCAGGAACGGGCTGCGAACTCCCCTAGTCTCTCAGCAAAACTGGAGCGCGGGAGGTCGACTGTGGGCGCTCGCCCCTCTCATTCCAGTCCAACATCTGCAGGCTGCCTTCACTGCAGGCCCAGTGTACAGTGTCCAGAAGGGAGAAAGGAGCACTCCTGGCCTCAAGAAGTCTCCAGGGAGTAGAAGCAGCACATACAAGTAAGCATAACACAGATAGCACTGCATGGGTTTGGGGGCACAAGGACATTTGAAATGGGCCTTGGCAGACACACGGGGTGGTAAGCAGACAAAAGCAGCAGCAAAGACGAGGAGGCTAGAAAGCCAGAGGCCCCTGGATGAACGGGTGGAGGGAGTGAATGGGTACGAGATAAGGAAACCTGGAGAGATAGGCCAGGGTCAGATTATAAAAGGTCTTAACCCTGACCACCTCTCTATGACCCCAGCTCTGCATAGCTTCTTCAGCGGTACTGAAGACTCTGCAATTGTCATCCTTGCTCCCTGCCACAGACTGGATGTTTGCATCCCCTCAGAATTCACGAGGAACCCTAATGTGGGATGGTATTGGCAGGTGCAGCCTGTGGGAGGTGATGAGGTCATGAGGGTGGCGCCTTCACGAGTGGGATTAGCACCCTGATAAAAGAGACCCCAGAGAGCTTCCTCGTCCCTTCTACCACTTGAAGACACAGCAAAAAGATAGCTGTCTAGAAACCAGGAAGAGGGTCCTCACCAGACACGAAATCAGCCAGTCCCAGATCTCGGACTTTCAGCCTCCAGAACTTTGAGGAACACATGTCTGTTGTTTATGAGCCACTCATTCCATCGCGTTTTTGTTACGAGCCAGAATGGACCAATCCGCTCTCTTCCATCAATTCTCTCTCGGGTCTGTCCCCACTCAACTGTCACCAAAAGTCTAGCTCACAAGAAGGTATGAGTAACTGCTCACATGCCCTCATTTACATTTACCTTATGGTACAGCAGGAGACAAATCTGTATTTGTTTGTTTGTTTGTTTGTTTAGGGATGTGACTTCTGGGCTTCCTTAAACCGCCCCGAAGGCGCCAGTAAGGTTGACTACTATGTCTATGCAGGTGGCAGAGAATTTCAAGTCGTCTGGCTTTGAATGCAGTCCCGGTCAGGGACTGACTGTGACCGTGAGTGAGCCCCGTCGTCTCTCTGGGTCTCCGGTATCAAACATGCTACACGGGAATAATGCCACCTGTTGAGGGTTACTGGACTTGAGGTGGGGGAAGCAAAGAGCAAAGCCCCCTGCCATGCACAGTTAAATCTGAATTTCAGATAAACAAATACTCTTTAGGATAAGCATGGCCTAGATATGACATGGGACATAAACTAAAAACGTATTTGTCGCTTATCTGAAATTCAAATGCAGCTGGGCGTGCTGTGTTTCACCTAGCAACGCTACTCCCATCCCACGGGGAATTCTGGCACCATGACACGGGACAGTCATGAGCAAGGGCTTTCTTTGCCAGAGCACCTCAGGAGGGAGGTGGTAAAGGGAAAGATCAGTCTGGCCCAGCCTCCCCTGTACCCCTGCGCTGAGATGAGAGCAGAATGCAAGAGGGGGCCGGGTGCCCCTGTCCTTGGCCAACAGTGGCAAAGGCGGATTTTTCCTGGGCTCACCTTTCTAACAGGTGCATCTGACACCTGGGCCCCGCCCCTGGAGTCAGGCTCTGAAGCAGCAGGAGGGCGGGACGGGAGGTGCGGCACCTGCAGGAGCTAAGTCTTAGGAGACCAGGCTGGAAAAACAACTTTATGGAGAGAGAGAGGCTTGTTGGAGCTTACTAACTGCACCTGCCCTGGCTGGGTGTGCAATCCCAGATCTTGCACACCGTGGATCCTTCCAGAGGCAGAGACATGGGACAACCCTGGGACGGCAATCATAGAAAGACTCACAAGACTGCAGCCCATTTATGGGCTCTGGGACCGCGGCAGGCACTTCCCCTCTCTGGGCCTCAGAGGCCTCACCTGTAAAATGGGGGCAAACGGAATAAAGGAGACCCACGTGTAATGTAAAGACAAGCTCGGCAGTGAGCATCATGTGTGTGGGCCACCGGAGCCACAACTCCCCTTCCCCTCTGTGCAGGGGGGACTGGCCACGTTGCTCAGAAACAGTGAGGAAGCTGGAGTTGGAAGATCTGGGCTTGTGCCTCAGGGGAACTGCTACAGTGCTGTGTGACCTTAGGCAAGTCGGTGTTCCTCTCTGGGTCTTTCGACGCTTCACGAATCTGGACAATTGCTACTGATTGTGCATTTCTTCCCTGGGTGGGAGCGGGGGTCCCTACTCTAGCCTACACCTGCTGTGCTGCTCAGGAAGGCAGCGGCTGGTGACTGGTGGCTATGTAAGTGTAAATTAATTAAAACGAACAACTGAGTTCCTCAGTTACACTGGCCACATCTCAAGTGCCTGTGGATAGCCAGTGGCCAGTGTTGGACACTGCACACA